GTAAAGAAGGAAAAATAATACAGTATTTTGTTCAGGACATTTGACTGTGGGCAGTACTGACCTCTGCTGGTAGGAGGTATGTTGATGCATTTTCTGGGTGGCAATTCAATAATATATATTAAAACTTTACAATGCACATTAATCTAGCATTTACATTTCTAGGAATTTGTATAAGGAAACAGTCTGATAAGTTTGCAAAAAATTATGGCACCAGGTGTTTACTGAAGCACGACTGGTAACAGAAAAACATTGGAAAGAGTTTTCATGATCATCAGAAGAGGGCTGGTTAACAAAATTATAGTACATGTACTAGTGAAACATAATAATGTATATCTGTATTTTTAAACATGTTTATAATATATTGCCAAATAAAAGTGTAAAAGACTAAATATAATATGATTGAATTTTGTTAAAACGTATACATGTACATTTATTTGCTTAAATAAATATTTGGAGGACTATACATCAAAATGTACAAGTTCCTGCCTCTGGGCGGTAGGATTATGTTTTTATTTTATTCTTTATATTTTTGCTTTATTTTTAATTTTTTAATAATAAAAAACATTTTTAAAAGTATACCTGGAATTTCTAACATATAAACTATATGAACTATATGTGGTTATGTCCATTGTAAAAGTATTCATCAGTACCAGTTTCTTTAGGGGTGATGCTGTTTGTGTAGCTGGTTGGCCCCTGAGGGAGAGGTGAAGTGAGGGATCAACATCTACTGAGCATCTAGTTAACATCAAGCAATTAGCTTGACATCTTCACATCTGAGCATCATTTGGTCCTCAGAACCACTTGGGAGAGTTTGTTTTCTGCATGTTACAAATGAAGAAACTGAGGCCAGTGACTGAAGATAAGTAACCTGGCTAGAGGTCTTATGTACTAAATGGTGGGGCTGGGACTCAGCCATTGGTCTCATTTGGCTCCAGAGCCTGGGTTCCTCGTACAGAATGAAACTCCTTCAGCAATCGATAAGAAGCACACACATCTCTGAAATTAAATGATAAGCAACTGGAAAAATTGGATTCCGTTTTTAAAGGCTTACTTGCCAGTAGCATTTAAGGGGATTCAGCTGTGTCTAAAATAAAATACACATCGAAATATCGAAAGCATAGTAAACCTCTCTCTCGACACCCAAGATATTTAGATTCAGACATCGTGAAGGTTCTGTTTCCTGTCGGACAAATGTTATCCAAGGCCACCTCTTACTAGGAAAAAAGCATCCACGTACTTCTCCTTTTTGCTGTCCTTGTGGTCCAACATAGGGAATTCCACTTCGATCATTGCTGGAGTCAACATAACTTCTATATTCTGTTCACAGAGATCACTGAAAAGGAATAAGAGGTACAGCTGGAACAGGTTTTCCTTCCCAAAATAAAATAGAGAAGCATTGTAATCATTTAAGAGTTACACAGCTCTTGTGGCCTCCACATTCGCTCCACCTTCTTGTGTTGAGTTCATGTTAAGAGAAGCATAAGGCTAATAAACTGCTTCACACCAATGAACAACAGTCGGAGTAGTTACAACCAGAGAATAAAGAGCAATTATTTTTTTGGTTAATCCTCACCTGAGGACATTTTCCCATTGATTTTTAGGTAGAGTGGAAGGGAGGAAGGGAGAGAGAAAGAAAAACACTGGTTGCCTCTCTGGGAATAGAACCCGAGACCCCTTGGTCTACAGGCCAACACTCTTGCCACTGACACAAACTGGCCAAGGCTAAAGAGCAGTTTTTAAAGCGGGGTTATAGAATGAATAGTCTCTTCCAGTGCGCATGGAACATTTATCAGTATTGATCACATCCTGGCCTGAAAGATTTAAAAAGATTGAAATCATTCAGAGTACATTCTCTGGCCACAATACAATTCAAATGGAAATCAACTGCAAAGAAGAAAACTAAAAAAATCCACAACTGTTTGAAAAATTAAGCATTATTTGCAAAAGCAGGTGGCGGGCCAGCTTTGGCCATGGACCACGGTTTGCTGACCCCTGGGCTAGAGCTTGGCTGCTGGATGGTCACAGCTGGCTGGGTGCCCAGACCAGCTGGAGCGGAGCAGGGAGAGTGGAGGGGGTACCCGCAGACCTCAGCAGCAGGAAAGCTCATGTCCCCTCACATTCCTTTGGCAAGGGCTTCGTCTACTGGATGATTTAACTGCAAGGGAGGCCGGGAAATATCGCCCCTAGTTTTAACAACTCTATTACTTTAGAAGAGGAGAATGGAGTTTTGGACAGCAGCGGTCTTCGCGCTCGGTTAAAGAGAAATGCTTCCAAGATCAGCGAAGGCAACACTGGCCTCAGAGTCCGGAACTACGAACAGGGGCCTGGTCAGTAGTGACACACACATAGAGGTGGCCCAGCAAGCTTCTGTGAAGGAAAGTGCAGTCCCAGAAGATTGAAGGCTAACAATGGCTAAGCAGCTGTTCTGTGTGATTCACTCTCCTGGTGGCTTTGCAGACATGCTCTTCCCATTAGCAGCGTCCTCCCTCTAAGGTGGGGATGATCACCAGAGCTCATGGCGGGGATTAAACGAGACTGCTTGCCAAGCCCACTGCGTTACTAGGATACCACCCTCACCACTAGCATCATCATTTCCTTCCACTCTAACAACCCCTATGAAGTAAGCACTCTATTCTCATTTCAAAGATGAGGAAACTGAGTCACAACAGTCTTCACATCAGTGGTGAATGAAGGAGAGGTTAGATATGTTTTGGTTTGCCGAGAGGCTCCCCAGTGGCCCCGTCAGACAGGACTTGTTCTGCTTAACCTCAAGCAACTGCGTACCACGCAGCCCCTGGGCTGTCTTCTCCGGAGGGCCCCGTGGGTGGTGTGAACAGAAGACACTTCCACCTTCCTGTTCAGACTTGGATCCTGCTTGAAGGCTCAGGTATTGCCAAGCATCTCCCCATGTGGGCAGGTCTTAGGAGAACTGGATATATGTCTCACATATTTGGGATTTCACGAATTGATTATTTACATGTAAAAATGTTGAAGTGGGCACAATGATAGGAGACTCAAGCATATATTTTCACTGGCTGTTGGATGCTCATTAGTAAAATGAAATTTAAGTGCCTCGGTTTGGGGCCCATATTTCTTTATGCCTCTCCAAGTTCTGCCCATCTTTCAGGTACTGACCCAAGTCCACACGACCATGGAAGCCTTGTGCACCCACTCAGCACTGCCCCTGCACTCCCCTCCTCGAGCCCCGGACACCTGAAGGTCAGCAAATTGGAGACCTTAGAGACTGGGTCTCCCCTATGATGAATTTGGCATCTTATCTACTTATGGGCTGGCTCAGTGTTAGCCTTGTCTCATCTGGCTGCAAGCTCAGGCACTGTGTGCTCTTTTGAAACATCTCACAACATCCAGCATATTTCTGGAAAACAGACTACATTAGAGACCAAAGGTAAAAACTGTACCGTTCGGCTGTTTCCAATCTGTCTTCTTCTGGTAAGGCCATAAGAATGGCAGGGACATTTATCGGAAGCATAACTGGATTGAGGGAGTCACAGCTGTGGAGAAATCACACAAGCAGCCAGAGATAAATAATCACATCAGCAGTCTTGGGGTCTTTGCATCACTTTCTAAAGCACTTTTATTGCCCCCTGCTGAGGCCTTTTCCATTCAGCCTTCCTTTACTCCTGAAATCTCACTCAGGTCCCCCAGAGGCAAAGGCAGGGGGTGTGACAGGTACCGGCCAAACCCGAGAATGGTGCCAAGTAAGACATTTGCCAGGGTTCAGAAACATAGACTTTTTGTATAAGAAAGAAGGGAAAGTAAGGAAAGTACATACATTCTACTTAGCATTATAAGAAGAAACAGGGACTGGTCACTGGAAGACCAGGCGGGCTCCCACAGAGGGTGGAGGGGCTGGGAGGGAGCCCTGCTCTGCACCATCGGGCAGTGTGACTTTGGAAAGCACGTCGATGTTCTGCGCACCAAAAAATTACAAAACAGTAAGAAAGGAGAGAAACAAGTAGTATTTCACAGGAATTCCATAATCACTCTGGAGGGAAAGGAAGAGGAAGAGAAAGAAAGAAAAAAAAGAAGGAAGGAAGAAAGGAAAGAAGGGAGGGAGGGAGGGAGGGAGGGAGGAAATCCAAGTACTTTATGAGTGTAGTACTTGACTGTATGTTTCCCGTTGGGATGAGATGGATGTAGGGGGACAACGACAGACAGATCTGAACTCTGTTTTGCTTATCGAAGTGGTTACGGGTGCGGTCATTCTGAAACTATTTCAGATGTGCTATAGACTTGAGTAAATGTGTTCGGAGCCAGAGTTCCGACAATGAAGGAAGGAGCATATGAATACGGAATGGGGGAAAGTGAGCAGTAACTCTGTGATGTGGACGGGAATTATAAGCAGTGGTGTGAACCCCTGGTTTCTGATATATATACTATACATGTATGTGTCCATGTGTTTGTGTGCACACACACATGAACACATGTGCATACTATATGTATGTATGCATGTGTTTTGGTATACACACACACACGTATACTTATGTGTGTGTGTGTGTATTTCCTTATATACACACCCTGGCTTATCTGCTGAGGAGGCCAAGAAAACCCCCTCACCCCCTCAGTGGCAATGTGTATACTGAGCACCCACCCAGATTTTGGTCTTTAATGTCATTCCTCACCAAAAGGAACCTGAGGTCCATCACCCAGAGGTTGGTGTATTGACTGACTTCTTGACTGAGAGTGCAAGTTCTGACCGACACCTGCACTGGGACCCCGAGGGTAAATCCAGAGGTCCTGCCTGGAGGAGGGAGCCAGGAGCTGAAAGCCTGGACTCCTTTCCAGAAACAGGCGGGTCTGGGAAGAGCAAAGGCAACAACCAAGTGCTTTTCCTGAGACAAACTTATCCAATTTTGAAGGTCTGACACCATGCTCCTCTCATGTTTTGTATGTTAATGTGTTCTTCTGAAACGGAAATGGTGGAACCGGAAATGGTGGCAACCGTAGCGGTGGTGGGTGTTCTGCTGGGCTAGCAGGGCTCTGACGGCGCTGCTGGCCGGCTTCCGCCGCCTCACTCATCCATGAACCCAGAATTCTGGGCGCACTGCTGGGTTGCTCATCCTCTCCAGCTGCTGTCGGCGCTCAGACTTTAGGAAAGTCCTAGAGACTCAACAAATTCTCTCTAAATTTATTAAAGAGTAAAGAAATCAAGTGAGCTGTTTTGATTATTATGAATATAAAAATGATTTGGAATAAACAGCAAATACCTATGTCACATGGTTTGACAACAAACAGATAACTCTCCGGGGGAAAAGACACAACAAAGGAAACCCTTGGAAGTAGCAGGTAATTTATTCAAGCAAAACGATTGCAAAGTTGAAGTATCACTAATGGGTTTGTAGGACCTTAAAAAGAATTGCCATATTATTTTATAACTCCGTTTAGAACTAAAAACATAATTTAGAATCTTATAACAATCACGATACAGAAATATAGACTCCTCTCTTGCTTTTATAATCTGTTATACAACTATGGTTTATTTTGAAGCAAACTGGCCACAGAGCACTCAGACAGAGAAGCTGGAAGTGACACTCAGGGTCGGGGAGTTTTCTTTAATTCACACAGAATTCATGTTTAATTCATGCTTCACTCGAGCCCAAGGTAACTGCATTCTGACTGCTTTTCGAAAGAACAGCCTCCGGAGATTTTTCCAAGGACATTGCTTTGGGAAAAAAGAAAAGGACTCCCCCCCCTTAATTCTGAGACCTGTGTGTGGGACAGCGGGGGACACAGGCTGTCTCCACCTCCCACCACTTGTCATTTTGCTGTCAGCCTCCTGATAGCACCCCACACAGCATGTCTACGGATTAAATGGGTCAATTCCGAAATGTCCCAGCACACAGCGAAATGAGGCAGGTCAAGGAGCTGGCAGACCCTCGCCATCGGTGGCCCAGAGCGACTGCAAGGGTAGCGGGAGGTGTGGCGGGCAGAAGAGCAGGGGGAGTTATAAAGATATAAAGTGCTAGGCGCTTCGCATCATCCTTTTACTTCAATTCGCACACCGCGGGGTGAGGGTGCCGTTGCCATTCCTGTCTCACAGGTGGGGAGTGACGGCCGCGGGCTTCAGTAATAAGTAACTCGCCCAAGGACACAGGACAGGTGACAAGCCAGCAGGTACTGGAGGCAGGGCTCTCAGGCACCAAAAGTCCTCCTCTGTGCAGTGCCCCCGTTTTGCCCCCGTTCTGGAGATTTCCGCGTTAGAGAGATGCTAAGTGAAGAACGAAGATGCTCTGTTTGTTGTGAGGTGGCCATGGGGTGGGTGAGGTATGAATAAACTCATAGAAGAGGAACAAATATTTCTGAACTCCAAATGTTCCAAACTCTATGCTTGGGCTCATGGTCATCTCCAGGCAAAGAAGGGTCGGAGGGCAGCACTAAGAAAATTACCCCAAAGGGTCGGCACGTGGAAAAGCCTCTGGAAGCAAGGCTGGATTTTGCTTAATTCAGGAAAAGCTTTTCTGCTGGCAAATACGGAAGAAGTAAATGAAGTGTTCTGGGGTCACAAACTGAATTTCAATGACCTCCTCAAATACTCGGGGAGGGGCCGGTGGAGGGTAGCATGCATGGGGTCGCTGCACACCGGGTAAGCTCTCCTCCGCCTCCTAAATGAAAATGTCAGGGCTGAGAAGGGTCTTCTCGACAAGTCCAATCCCCTTGTCTTCTGGACAAGAGGGTGGTTGAGGAGCTCCTGGAGGCAGTATGGCATTCTGCTGAGGGACAGGAACTCGAGTGTCTCTGCCAGAGGATCCAGAAAACAATGGAGGGAGCTGGGGGCAAAGGTCACCTTCTGCTCTTGGTTGGTGGCAGAGCGTGGGTTTCCTGACCACTCCTGGGGCCATGCCATAGCAATCAGACAAGAAGAAGAAGAAATAAAAGGCATCCAGATTGGAAAGGAAGAAAAACAATGATCATTATTTGCAGATGACATGATATTGTATATAGAGAACCCTAAAGATACCACCAAAAAACTACTAAAACTGATAAATTCAGTAAAGTAGCAGGATACAAAATAAATATCCAGAAATCAGATGCATTTTTATACACCAATGAAAGAAAGAAACTTAAAAAACAATCCCATTCACAATTGCTCCAAAAAGAAGAAAATACCTAGGAATAAATTTAACCAAGGATGTAAAAGAACTATACTCGGGAAATTATAAGACACTGAAGAAAGAAGCTGAGGAAGATACAAATAAGTGGAAGCATATATCTTGTTCATGGATAGGAAGAATCAAATCATTAAAATGCTTATACTACCCAAAGCAATCTATAGATTCAATGCAATTCCTATCACGATACTAATGGCCTATCTCACAGAAGTAGAACAAATGTTTCAAAAATTTGTATGGAATCACAAAGACCCCAAATAGCAACAGTGATATTGAGAAAGAAGAACAAAGTTGGAGGAATCCTCCTATCTGATATCAAACTATATTACAAGCCCACAGTAATCAAAGCAGCATGGTACTGGCATAAAAACAGACATAGATCAATGGGACAGAATAGAGAGCCCAGAAATAAACCCACGCCTTTATAGTCAATTAACATTTGACAAAGGAGGCAAAAACATACAATGGACTAAAGATAGTTTATTCAATATATGATGTTGAGAAAATTGTACAGATAAAGGCAAAAAAAAAAAAAAAAAAAAAAAAAGAAACTAGACCACTTTCTTACACTGCACACAAGAATACACTCAAAATGGATTAAAGGTGGGAAATGTTTAGCTGGAAACCAGAAAAATCCTAGAAGAAAACATAGGCAGTAATATCTCAGACATTTCTCATAGCAATATTTTTTTCTGATATATCACTTTGGGCAAGGGAAATAAAAGAAAAAATAAACAAATGGGAATACTTCCGGTCAGGATGGCGGGTAGGTAAACGCGGTATCGCCTCCTCCCATAACCACATCAAAATTACAACTAAACTACAGCACAAACATCCTTCAGAACCATCTGACATCGAGCTGAATGAAAGTCCTACAACTATGAGATTAAAGAGGCAGTCACATAGAGACTGGTAGGAAGGCAGAGGTGGATGGGCTGGTCCCACACCCACGTGTGGCAAATAAAAATCAGGGGGACTCCTCGGCTGGGAAGGTCCTCCCTGAGGGCTGAGGGGTCCTCGTCCCACACCAGGCACCCAGCTTAGGGTTCCAGTGTCAGGAAGAGAATCCACATCACTCCTGGCTGTAAAACCAGTGGGAACAGAGGCTGAGAGAGACTGAGGCGGCTGGAGCCCCAGGCAGCTCCTCTTAAAGGGCCCGCACTCGGACTTACTTGGACTTGCTCCCTCTAAGCTCAGAGAGGAAGCAGCTTGAGGGCACCAGAGATGTACAAAGAACTGAGCTGTTTGACCTCGAGATGAGGCCTGGAGAGGTGGCTTTCTCCTGGACAGACATGTTGGCAGAGGCTGATATTCCTTTGGTGAGCCCTTCCGTAGGGCAGCAGACGGCCATCATATCTGGGACTCCAGCAACCTGGTTCACACTGTTTGCCCCGCCCTGGTGATTCCCTGAGGCCCCGCCCCACACAACTTTCAGGCCCACCCAAGTTGTTTCCAAAGGCTTTACCATAGGATTGGCCTGTCTTAGATCCTGCTTCAGAGTTTCCTAAAAACTCAAACAAGCAGCATCTGGTCTCAGTGAGCCCCATACCTCTCATTAAGTGGCCCAGGCCTGGCACTAGAAGCAGGCAGCCTTGGTGCACAACGTGGCTTTTCCTTGGCCCCTCCAAGCCCAGCACAAGAAGCAGCCATCTGCAGATCACTTTGTAGCTTATGCTGGGTGGCCCCAGATAGAACACAGGCAGTGGCTGACCTTGCCCCAGAGCCAGCACACCCACTGGACAGCTTCAGACCACATCGAAACACCACCACTCAACCACCTCCACAAGTGACACACTCAATGAGTGGACTCAGAGGGCACCAGAACCCTACTGAAGTAAATCTTGCCCTGTGTGGTGGGCCCCTACACAGATGATCCTCCAAGGCAGTCAGAGTCCAGTGGTCAATGGGCACAGCCAGTCCTTGCAGCTGGTTAACCTTAGTAAATCCCTCCCATGGACATGCCAACAGCAATCAAGACTCAATTACAACAGAAGGGTATACAGTCCACACTGGGGGTGCACCTCGAAGGCCCAGCTGGGGTGATCATGGAGGATGCGCCACTGGATCCTACAGGACACCTACAACAATAGGCCACCCTATGAAGCCTAGGAGACATAGCAACTCTATATAATATATAATACATAGAAACAGTCACAGGGAAGCAGCCAAAATGAGGAAACAAAGAAACATGTCCCAAATGAAAGGAAAGAACAAAACTCCAGGAAAAGAATTAAACAATGGAGATAAGCAATCAATCAGATGCAGAGTTCAAAATACAGGTTATAAGGTTGCTCAAGGAACTTGGTGAGACATTCAAGGAACTTAGTGAGGCCTTCAAGGAACTTAAAGAGACCTCCAAGGAACTTAGTGAGAACATCAACAACATAAAAAAGGATAAGTCTGAAATGAAGGATGCACTAACTGAAATAAAGAATAATATATAGGGAATCAGTAGTAGAGTAGGTAAAGCCAAGAAGCAAACCATCGAATTTGAATATAAGGAAGCAAAAAACACCCAATCAGAACAGCAAAAAGAAAAAAGAATTAAAAAAAAAATGAGGACAGTGTAAGGAGCCTATGGGACAACATCAAGCGTGCCAACATTCGCATTCTAGGGATGCCAGAAGGAGAAGAGAGAGAACAGGAAATTGAAAACCTATTTAAGACAATAATGACAGAAAACTTCCCTAACATGGTGAAGGAAACAGACATACAAGTCCAGGAAGCACAGAGAGTCCCAAACAAAATGAACCCCAAGAGGCCCACACCAAGACACATCATCATCATCAAAATGCCCAAGGTTACATACAAAGAGAGACTCTTTTTTTTTTTTTATCCTCACCTGAGGATATTTTTCCATTTTTTGTACAGATAGAGTGGGAGGGAGAGAGAGGAAGGGAGAGAGAGAAACATCGATGTGAAGGGACACATCGAGTGGCTGCTACCCGCACGACCAACCAGGGCCGGGGACAAACTGCAACCGAAGTACGTGCCCTTAGCGGGAACCGAACCCGGGTCTCTCCGGACCACAGGCCGACGCTCTAACCGCTGAGCCAAACTGGCCAGGGCCAAAGAGAGACTCTTAAAAGCAGCAAGAAAAAAGCAGTTCGTTACCTACAAAGGAGCTCTCATAAGACTGTCAGCTGATTTCTCAAAAGAAACTTTGCAGGCCAGAAGGGAGTGGCAAGAGATATTCAAAGTGATGAAAAGCAATGACCTACAACCAAGATTACTCTATCCTGCAAAGCTATCATTTTGAATCAATGGACATATCAAGAGTTTCCCAGACAAGAAAAAGCTAAAGGAGTTCATCACCACCAAACCAGTATTATATGAAATATTGAAGGGTCTTTTTGAAGGAGAACAACAAAAATATGAACAATAAAATGGCAATTAATACATATCTATCAACAATTGAATCTACAAACAAAATGAGCAAGCAGAACAGAAACGGACTCATAGATACAGAGAACTTTTTGTTGCTTGCCTGATGGGTGGGGGCTGGGGGAATGGGTGAAAAAGATGAAGGAATTAAGAAGGACAAACTTGTTGTTAGACTGATGAAACTCAAAGGAAAGCGGGGAGGGAGGGTGAGATGAGATAAACCGAAGAACTTCTCTGCAGGTATGTACAACCAATGGACACCAACGATAGTGTAGGGAAGGCAGGAGCAGAGCAGTGTGGGGGAGGAGAGGGTCAATGGGGAAAAAATGGGGGGGGGACATCTGTAATACTTTCCTCAATAAAGATGAGTTAAAAAAAAAAAAGTATGCTGAATATGAAAACACTGCTTTGATTAGCAAGCTTCAAACATAACATATCCTGGCCAAGCAGGAGGGACCGGAGTCCAAGAGAGTGTCACAGGAGCTGTTGGATGAAATGAATTACTGAGTTCCAGCTACAAAGAACAGCTAACTGTTGCATCATCATGATGGTCTATAACATGTGATGCCTTGCTTTGAACTAACAAAACTGTTATACCGACAAAGAAATTAAGCCTTGGAAATTATAAGTTGTAAAAGTAAACAAATCAAACTGCAAGATTAAAAACAAAAAAAAAACAAAAACAGGAATACATCAAACTAAAAAGTGTTAGCACAGCAAAGAAAGCCATCAATAAATAAAAAGACAACCCACTGAATGGGAGAACATATTCAGCAATGATACATCTGATAAGGGGTTAATATTCAAAATTTACAAAGTACTCATAAAACTCAACACCAAACACCCCCCCCCCCAATAACCCAATTAAAACATGGTCAAAGACCTGAGTAGACACTTCTCCAAAGAGGACATAGTGTATCGAAGGGAGATTTTTAGAGAGGGCTGACTGCATGGTGGTGACCAAAAGACATATGAAACGATGTTCAACATCACTAATCATCAGAGAAATGTAAACTAAAACCTCACACCTCTCAGAATGGCTGTCATCAATAAATCAAACAAGTGTGGGTGAGGATGTGGAGAAAAGGGAACCCTCATGCACTATTAGTGAGAATGCAGATTGGTGCAGCCACTGTGGAAAACAGTATGGTGTTACCTCAAAAAATTAAAAATGAAACTGCCTTATGACTCAGTGATTCCTCTTCTGGGAATTTATCCAAAGAAACCCGAAACACTAAGTCGAAAGAATATATGCACCCCTATGCTCACTGCAGCATTATTTACAATAGCCAAGATTTAGAAGCAGACCAAGTGTCCATCAGTAGATGAGTGGATAAAAAAGCTGTGGTACATTTGCACAATGGAATAGTACTCAGCCATGGAAAGGGAGAAAATATTACCCTTTGTGACAGCATGGATGGACCTGGACAGCATCATGCTAAGTGAAATAAGCCAGTCAGAGAAAGACATGTACCATATGATTTCACTCATATGTGGAATCTAATGAACAAAATGATCTACCAAGAAAAATAGAGACAGACTCATAGATAGAGAGCAGGCTGACATCTCGGGGGCGGTGTGTGTGTGTGTGTGTGTGTGTGTGTGGTGGTGGTGGTGGTGGTGGTGGTGGTGGTGGTGTGAAAGGTAGGGGGTGTTGGGATTGAATAAAAAAAAAATTCATGGACATGGACAACAGTGTGGTGATTGTGGGTAGAGGAGGATGGGTAGAGATAGAAGAGGGCATAGAGGGATAAAAGGTGATGGAAAAAATTGAATGAAATTTTAAAAAGTCAGTTATACATCAGCATATTTCTGTGACTAGCAAACTTCCCTCATGCACTGAAAGCATAATCTGACACCTGGCTGGCACTTCACTTTTGATCCCAGCCTCTGAGACAAACGATGGGCTGGGCTCACCTCTGTGTTGTCTCTGTCTTGGAGGTCTCGGGCAGAGACGAGAGCACCAGGGGTTGGAACCTCTTCCAATGCATGACTTCGGGTATGATGTCCTGGAATGAGAGGCGACATGGGGCGCTCCATGTAAAGGAACTGTTTGGTGAGGTGAAGTCTTGGAAGGACTTCCCTTTTATTCAGTTGACTGTTATTCGCACTTAAAAGTTTAGCTCCAGAATTTATAATTTCATTCAGTTTGACTGAATTTTTATGAAGCTAAAAGACAACTGCTCCAGCAAAGGGCATTAAACAATGCAGCACAAAATTAAACAGGGCCAAGGAGCGTCTGCCTTCCCCCGATTCACTAGGCACAGGATTCAGCAGGCCCTGGGGAGGGAGGGCAGATTCAGCCCCACGATCTGTCTCACTCTTGTGAAGTTGGTGCTCAAGCCAGTCAAAGAGGTTGGTGGTTCATCAGAGGGCATCCAGGCAGGGGGAGGGCCTGCAGGTGCATGGCGATGCAGGGAGGGCGCGGTCAGGAGGGCGCCCGCTGGGCTGAGTGTGGGGTGTGAGGGTGACGGGGACTGCAAGACGTGAGTCTGGAGAGGCAGGTTGGTCACGAATGGCCTGTGGGCCAAGCTAACGAGCCTGGAGCTGCACCCATGGGCAGCAGGACCACTGAGATTTTTCAAACTGGAAAACAACATGATTGGATGGATGTGTGTCGAAGGAAGATCTCTAGAGAGGGCGGACTGCACGGTGGTGGTCGTGGGGGAGCAGAGGGAGACTCACAAGCTGTTGGAGGCAGGCTGGTGGAATCCAGTGATGGTTAAAATGGGAGTGAGGGAGAGGCAAGGATCAAGGATCACATGGGTCATTGCACAGATCATAGAACAAAAGGCAGGGTAGGCGAGCGGTTTGAGGTGTAGTTGGCAGCAGTAGTGCATAGATATGCACGGAGTTAGGGATTTATTGAGTTTGAAGGTCGTGAGGGCAACTCCCAAGAGAGGCCGCTGGATATTCAGGTTGCTAAACTTGGGGAAAAAGGAATTCGTTGGAGCCTCTTCCTAAACGTGTGTCATAGCACCACCTGGTCCATTCTGAGGTTTCTACGCTTGTTGGGGACAAAGAAAGAGGAGGTCAGACCATGGGGTATGCCTGCCACGTGAGTGTTTTTACGTGGTCGAAACAGAAATAAAAATGAATATAAGGTCTCATCTTCAAGCAAAAAGAGTGAGAATGTTAAAAAGAAAAAAAAGGGCAACTTGCTGCCTGAGAGGTGGGTGTGGACAGGGCCAGAGTGGTGTGGCTCTTCCGCCACCTGCCCCTCGGCCCGGCTGACGGAACGAGAGGGCACACAGCCACTGTCACCGTCCTTCTGCAGCAGTGGCTGCAAACCTCCTCTGTCTCAGTTCCAGCTGCGACCCTCCATCCATGTTCCCTGCCCGTCCCTGTAGCCCGGGCCAGTTCTGCCAGCGAGCCGCTGGCGGCATTACCGTGTGGTGCAGAAACTGTTTCTGGGTGAGAGGAATGCTGGACCCGGTGTGGGTCTCCTTGGTGAACTTGTACTTGGGGTGAGAACACAGATGGTAATCTATCACGGTTTCTGCATAGGTCAGAGGGTGCATCACAGCAAATAGTCCTGGGCTGGGATTCTGCAGAGGAGAGAGGGAGAGATTCTTGTTTCCTAGTTTCTAAGTCAGGCAGAGGACAGGCGTCTGCTCACGTTGTCCCCGGCTCCCACCGGCACCAACAGCGACTCCGTGGCAGTGCCGCTGGGAAAGAGAAGCAGAGCAGCGGCGCCTTCGAATGGGCAGTCCTAAATGTCACAGTCACTCACAAATGCCACTTTCATGGCTTAAGGGTTTCATTACATACCATGTGGATTTACTAAGCTCACATGGAAACAAGTACAACTGAAATCACAGCCTGAAATGGCTTAAAGAATTTGTTTCTTAATTTGATGAATTAAGGGGAGTTATGAAATAAGCAAACTGGTATTAACAAGCAAGTAAGCGTCTGGCATTGAAAACAAAAGTAGCTTTTAAAAAACAACTTAAAAAAAAAGACAAAGAAGACGCTGACATTTGCTATATCAGGAAACGTCAACATTTAACATTGTTTTGGTGATGTTTTTAATTGAGGAAGGCTCCATTTGGATGTAGTATCTGGTTTTAAGGAAGATCCTGCTTTTTATTAGTTTTCCAGCAGAATTAATGGAGGCACAGGGCAATTATATCAAAATATGAGAATATAGAGCGTTTTAATGATCCTTCCAGAATTTATCCAACCAAAACTCCATTCTTGTCCCAAACAACATAGCTTTGTCCCTTCACAGTTATTTAATTTCACATGTTTAAGAACTATTAGGTTGAGATTTTGTTCTATTTGTTTGTATAATTTTTAAAACAATTAAAAAAACAACAACAAAACTCCACCTGGCTTATAGAAACCCAATCTCGTTGTGGAGAGACAAATGTCTCCCACAGCTTAGGGGAAGTGCAGGGAGGCAGGAGGCAGGAGGTGGGAGCGCCCCCCGCCCCCCGGTGCAGCGCAGGTATTGAAGGCGGCGGGAAGACCGTGAGCTGTGGGTGCAGACAGGCTGGCGCCGCCAGGGCCGGGGACCAAGACAGAAGAGGGCTCTGGCCTGAACTCGCGGGCAGAAAGGAAGGAGGAGGACGAGGGAGCCTGCAGTGCACAGTCCTGCGGAAACATGCAGACACTTCCAGGAGCAGTCGAGGCAAGAGCTGGAGTACTTGTATATTTTTACAACAGCAGGTTCGCTTCCAGTTCCTCAAAGTGCTGCTTGTGATGGTGGCAGAGACAGGAGAATGTAAACACTGGGTTGCACTCTGGGGCTCAAGGAAAGACTCCTTTCCCAGGTGAGGGCTGGAGGGCCGGAAAGGAGCTAGGTGAAGGGGGGCCTGGCGAGGCAAAGCAGGGGAGGTCTGAGACTACAGAGGTGGGTGAAGGAGAAGTGGGAGACATTTCCCACTCCAGTGCATGTCACTTTACACAGTTCAGAGCGCAAGAGAGAGCGATGGGAGGAGAGCCACGGGACAGAGGACCGAGCGAGCTCTCCCGCCTGGGCCGCCCAGGTCCTCTGCATGTAATCACCGAGATGTCCACATCCGGGCGAGGAGAACCCTGGCCTCCCCCAGCCCGGAAGCGGGGCAGCAGGCAGCACTGAAGAATGGGGAAAGGACCCCCAGCTCCACATGGGCAAAGGCAGCAAGAGGAGTGTAAGAACCTGAGAAACGCTGACTCCCATTGCCAGAGTCACCTCGGTGGTGGCAGAGTCCACTTAGGACAGCACCTGGGCAGGGACCCGAGGGACAGAGACCCCAGCTGACCAGGAGGCAGGGTGATGGAGGAGAGGGCTGGACGCACCTTGTGAGGGTGGTGGGGGGCGGGGGGAGTAAAGCACCAGGGAGGGGACATTAGCTGTGTGGCCTTCGGAAGTGTCTCCCACACTGGTTCATTGAGGGCCTGGAAAATTGCTGCATGGCCAACTCTCTTGATTTGCCTTAGGCCAAAAGTAATGAGTGAAATATATTTTTAAAAAATATGTTTTATTGATATTTGAGAGAGAGAGGAAAGGAGAGAGAGATAGAAACATCAATCGGCTGCCTCCTGCACGCCCCCTAGTGGGGCTCGAGCCCGCGACCTGGGCATGTGCCCTGACTGGGAATGGAACCGGGACCTCTCAGTCCATGGGATGACGCTCAATCCACTGAGCCACACTGGCTAAGAAAGTGAAATAGTTTCAAACTAGTAGTATCACTGTCTCTAGTAGCTGTCATACTTCAGATCCCCCTGGGTGGCCATCACCATCAGAGTAAGTGATCTGAACAGTCACCCCTTTTTAATTTCAATTTTCCACAAAGCAATGCATGCATACATTCAACTCCCCCGGGCTGGATGGATTTGAGAGGAAAAGCAATGGGGCTCCTGCGGGCCCTTCCTGTCCCCAGGCCCACATCCCAGAGGCTGTTTCTTTCCATTATTTGTTTTTGTTTTTGCCTCTGGTGGTCAGTACTTTAACTCAAAACATTATGCTTATTCTTCAATTTCTTGCATATCAGCTCTATTGGAAGGACAGCATCTATTGACTCATTACTATGCAAGATGAGGATTTGCTCATACACACAAATGCTCCTTCCAAACGTCTTCTTTCGAACTTAGAAAGTTACATTATTTTTAGTGCTACTGTTGGTTATCTTTGCAACTAGAAACGATGCACTTACACTCCTATTTCTTGTGTCCTCGTCTTTAGTTGAATATTTCAACTTCCTCTCCTGTGAAATGCAAACATTCCCATTCCCGTACGCTCCTGTCCCTTTCCTCCTCTCTTCCACAATTTCACTTTTGTATTATTAAGATTATTTACATTCACATTCTGGAATAATACCCAAGACCTTCATGCTTTATTCGTAGGTTGTCTCAGAAAGTTGAAAACTAGTAAATATCATGTATTTTGTCTTAAGTGTGTTAATGTTTCTCTGCCAGGCCAAGTAGAGCCCTGAACCAGTTTTTTTGTGAAGCTTCAATGCCATGACCTGTAATAGAGAAGAATTCCAGCATCTAGGCCAAATGTAGTCTATGTTTGTCTTTTCCATCAGCTCCTAAAAATCACACCAACGTTTAGTTGGGTTTCCTATTTGGAATACGTATTGCCTTTTAGTCGATTCCGTCCCTGGAGTGTAGAATGGCCTTTTCTTTTGCTTGAGTGATGTCTCCATCCGCCCAACTGCACTGGTGGTGGGTGGAGTCTCCCTTTCCCTTGGAACCTCTCTGCCAGACAGAGCCCTTTGCATTCTCTGCTACAGGCTCAATGCACAGAAATCATTCCAAGAATGCACTATAATATTTTACTGGTTGTAACCGGTATCTCTTTCCTCTTATTTTTGTTTCTTTTCTTAGGGTTTTCAAATTCTTTCTTTTATAGCTACTTTGATGTATAATTGATATACAATAATCTGCACATATTAAAAGTATATAATTTAATCTATTTTGACATGTTACATCTGAAAAGCCTCCTCAAAATAATGAACATCACCATCATCCCCAAAAGTTTTCTCTTGACCCTTGGTAATCCCTCCACCCTCCATTCCTGCCCCCCAACACTCACCCACTCAGTCCATCTGCAGGAAGCCGCTGACCTGTTCTGTCTTTACAGATTATTTCACATGTTCTATACTTTTATATAAATGGAATAATACAGTATGTACTCTTTTTTTTGGTCTGATTTCTTTTACCCAGCATAATTTTTCTGAGAACCATCCATGCTGTTACATGTATCAAGAGTTCACTTCTTTCTGTTACTGAAGAGTATTCCACTGTATGATAGATAATACCACAATTTGCTTATCCATTAACCTGTTGATGGACACTTTTTTCCAGTTTGGGGAACATATAGAGCTGCTATAAATATTCCTGCACAAGTCCTATGCTTCCATTTATCTTGGGCAAATACCTAGGAGCAGAATAGCTGGATTATATGATAGGTGTATATTTACTACTAACTTTTTAACTTTGTAAGAAACTGCCAAACAGTTTTCCAAAGTAGTTGTACCACTTTACATTCTTACCAGCAGTCTTTTAAATTTTAGACATTATAACAGAGATACTGCATTGTGATTTTAATTTGCACTTTGCTAATGATGCATTATTTTGAGCATCTTTCCATGTGCATACTTGCCATCTGCGTATCTTCTTTAGTGAATGAAGATCATTTGCCCATTTTAGAATTGGGTTGTTTTCTGTTAAGTTTCAAGAGTTCTTTATTCTGGATGCAAGTCTTTTATTAGATATGTGATTTCCAAATATTTCCTAAGTCTGTGATCTTTTCATTTATTTAAAACTGTCTTTAGAAAAATCAGAAATTCTGAATTTGAACAAAGTCCAATGACTTGTTTTATATATATATTTTTTCATTTATGAATTGTGGTTTTGATGTTGTATCTAAGAAATCTTTGTCTAACTAAGGTCACAGAGATCTCCTCCTGTGTGTTTTATAGAAGTTTTCTAGTTTTAGGTTTTATATGTAGGTCTATGAGTCATTAATTTTTGTTAATGGCATGAGGTATAGATTAAAGTTCTTTTATTTTTATTTTTGGTAAATGAATATCCAAATGCTCCAGTACTATTTCTTAAAAAAGACCACCATTTCTCCAGTGAACTGTTTCTGACCTTTGTAAAACAAAACAAAAAAACTAACCACAATTGTATGAATGTATATAATTCTGGATTCTCTGTTCTTTTCAATCATCTATTTGCCTAATGTTTTGCCAGTGCTATACTTCCTGGATCACTGTAGCTTCACAATAAGCTTTGAAGTCAGGTAGTGTAAGACCTTCAATTTTGTTCTTCAAAGTTGTTTTGGATATATTTGCATTCCACATACATTTCATAATCGCCTGTTGAATTCCACCAGAAAAAGAATAGGCCTACTGGTTTTTATTGGGATTTGTTGAAGATTTAGGTTAGTTTGGAGAGAACTGACATCTTTCTTTCTTTTTTTTTTTTTTCATTTATCTTCAGATAGAGCGGGAGAGAGAGGGGGAAACATTGATGTGAGCAAGACACATCGACTGGTCGCCATCCACCCGACCCCAACCGGGGCTGGGGACAAACACAACTGAGGTATGTGCCCTTAGCAGGAACCGAACCCGGGACTCTCAGGTCTGCGGGCTGACGCCCTAACTGCTGAGCCAAACTGGCCAGGGCAAGAACTGACACCTTAATAGGAAATCTCTGAATCCACCAACACAGTGCAGTTCTTCACTTATTTAAGTGTTCTTGGATTTCTCTCATTAATGTTTCTTAATTTTCAGGGTATCAGTCTTAACATACTTTTGTCAGATTTGTCCTTTAGTGTTTCCTATTTTTTGGTGCTAGTAAGTGGGATGGCTTTTTACAATTTTAATTTTGGATTGTTTGCTGCCTGTATATAGTAATACAATTGATTTTTATATATTGATTCTGCATCCTACGATCTTGGTAAATTCACTTATTAATTTTAGTAGGTGTTTGGGTAGATTCTATTGTATTTTCTATGTAGACAATCATTTTGTTTGTGAATAGAGACAGTTTTACTTTTTCTTTTAAAATCTGGACGCTTTGAATTCTTTTTCTTGCCTTGTTGTGTGGCTATCATTACAGTCTTAAACAGAATCAGTAAGAGCAGATATTCTTGCCTTATTGCTGATCTTAGTGGGAAAATATTTATTCATTTACCATTCAGTATGATTTTAGCTACAGGTTGTTAACAGATGCCCCTTATTGGGTTGAGAAGATTCCCTTCTGTTCTGCACTTGCTGAGAGTGTGTATCAGGAGTGACGTCAGGTAATTTTTCTGTACCTATTGAGATGATCACATTGCTTTTCTTTTTTCGTCTGTTAATATGGTGAATTACATTGAGTTTTGAATGTTAAACTAATCTTGTATTCCTGAAATAAGCCCCTATTTGCTCATGATATGTCCCTTTTATATAGTGATGATTTGATTTGTTAACATTTTATTTTATTTTTTTATATCTATGTTTATGCAGGATACTCTCGCCTTTTCTTTTCCGGTAATGTCTCTGTCTGGCTTTGGTATCCGAGTAACACTGACGTCTGGAATGAGTTGGAAAGTAATCCCTCCTCTTCCATTTCTGGAGATATTTTTGTAGATTTGGTATATTTCTTTCCTAAATGTTTGACAAAAATTTCCCAGTGGAGGCATCTGGGCCTGGAGTTTTCTTTGTGGGAAGGTTTTAATCACAACTTTAATTTTTTAAATAGACTTAAAACTAGTACTGGCATAAAGTTTTTCATTATATTAACTTATCTTTTTTTTTTTTTTAATCCAGAGAGAGAGAGAGAGAAACATCGACATGAAAGGCACACATTGAGTGGCTGCCACCCACACGACCCAACCAGGGCTGGGAACAAACTGCAACCGAGGTACATGCCCTTAGCGGGAACCGAACCCGGGTCTCTCTAACCGCTGAGCCAAACTGGCCAGGGCTTAACTTATCTTTTTAATATTCTGTAGCATCTGTAGTGATCTCTCATTCCTGATAGTGATCATTTATGTCTTTTACCTTATTTTTTTCCCCTGACCAGTTAGGTTAGAGATGTATTTTTTTAATGGTCTCCTCAAAGAACTAGTTTTTCTCTATTTGTTTTTCTGTTTTCTATTTTATTGATTTTTCAGTCTGATCTCTATTATTTCTCTTCTCTTAGTTTGGGTTTTATCTGTTCTTCTTTTTCAAGTTTCTTAAAGGGGTAGTTAAGGACATAAATTTGAGACCTACCTAATTTTTTAATGTAGATATATAGTGTTATAAATTGCCCACAAAATTTTTGTTATGTTATCATTTTCATTCAGTTAAAAATACTTTATATATTTTTTTTATTTCTTATTTGGCCTTTAGGCTATTTTAAAGTATATAATTTAGCCAAAATTTGGGGGTATTTTCTAGACTTATTTCTGACTTAATCCATCAAAATCAGAAAAAATACTTCATATGATTTGAATCTTTTCCATTTTACTGAGCCTTGTCTCATTGCTTAAAATATACAGTCTGCCTTGGCAAACCTGTGGTGTACACCGGAAGGGGAGACGCTGCGTCCTGTTGTGGGGCAGAGTGTCCTGGCCTGCACAGCAGGTATGCTGTAAGTGCTTGTAGAATTAATGAGTTAATACAACACTACTGACATTTTCTAAGGAAGTATGAGTGTGACTGTGGAAAATTCCCTTCACTTCTCTAGACCAGTTTTCTCACTTTTAATATAGTGAGGAAATGGTAGTGGGTGGGTCTGGGGGATAAGACACTGAAGGGTGTTTTTCAAACCTTGCTGTGGGGAACCCCAGGGTGTTGCAGGGATGCCCCCTAGCCCATTGCTATCCCAGCAACCAGGACTTTATTTACTTTACATTTTGCCTTTCTCTGTAAAATTTCAGCTGTTGAGTGGGTTCTGGTGCTAAGGGAAGTTTGAAATCACTGAGTTAAATGTCCTGTGAAGTGATTCCAGTTCTAAGATACTGTCTGCGGGGCACTCTCCTCAGCCGGTGAGACAGACGAAAAGGCCACATTATGGTCAGTCGGCAACACTGCAGCTCTCTACAGAAGGCAGCATCATTCGGAGGAAGAGGTCCGAGGCCGGCAGCTGGGGACAGGCAGGCGTCTGTTCCCGCTCTCCCACTAACTGGCGAAGTGACCTTGGGTGTGACCCTTTGCACCTCTGCCCACATTAGAGAGCAGATCCCCACTTGGAGATTCTCATAAAGGGGACTTTCTCAAGCAGTGTCTGAGGTCCCTTAATTCTGTGTGTGTATGTGTGTGTCTGTTAAAAAATGAACCATAACTTGGACAACTACTGTGGCATTTCCCTGGTGATTCCATCGTGATGTAGAACCTCATCAGATTTCCTGTCTGGATCCCAGTCGCTTGGGACTAGGGTATCAGGGAATGCTGGGTAGGAGAGGGACCCCCATGAGGGCAGATCAGAGTGAGCAAAGACCTGGCGATGGAGGAAAACAGAATTTGGCAAGGACGTGTGCAGGGGAACAGGGACGAACGGGGCTGGGGATTATGACTGGCCTCACATCTTCAGGAGCTTAGACTTAATTTGGTAGAAATGGGGTCCATGAAGGATGCTGAATGGGAGTGTGGCACGGTTAGGGTGCTTCCAGGGGTAATCAAGTGTGGCTTCAGAAGCGAGGAGCACAGAACTCTGGGAGGCAAAGGTGTGAATCAGAAGCGATGCGCTGCCCAGGGGTGGACTAAGGAATCAACAGTGAGTGATGGGGTTTCGGGTAACTTTACTTTCTTTACCTGTTGTATCTTTTTCTTTCTCTTTTTTATTTTATTTTTTTTTTATCCTCACCCGAGGACATTTTTCCATTTTTTGTTCAGGTAGAGTGGGAGGGAGAGAGAGGAACAGAGAGAGAGGAGAGAAACATCGATGTGAAGGGACACATCGAGTGGCTGCCACCCGCACGACCAACCAGAGCCGGGAACAAACTTCAACAGAGGTACGTGCCCTTAGCGGGAACCGAACCCAGGTCTCTCCAGACCGCAGGCTGACGCTCTAACCGCTGAGCCAAACCAGCCAGGGCTCTTTCTCTTTTTAAAAAGATCGTGTGTGTGTGTGTGTATACATATAATATATTATATATGATAATTAGAAAAGATCATAAAAATAGATGCCAGAATTATTAAAAGACAGAAACACTGATATTCTCCAAGCAAACAATTTCAAAGATGACATAGTGTTTCAACCTTGAAATTCAAAGAGGTAAAAATATTCCCAATCGATCCATCTGTTTTCTTGTAAAGTAACTGCTGAAATGAAGGAACACAGAACACAGGCCTTCCGCCAGTGGTCACTCACAAAAATATAGAGAGGGTCATAATCCGGAGACATGGCTAGGGCCTCGGGTGGTTTCATGTTCAAGGCTGAGGTCTTGCCAGGGACCTGAGGGGTGACGTCCTGCTTTGGCAGGGCTATCACGGTGGTGGCTTCATCCTGTGCAGGACCAAGAGCAGGGCGTTAGTGTTGATGCCAGGACAGGAGGGGAAGGTGAGGGCACTTCCTGAGGTGGGGTTGTTACCTCAGCTCCTTGCTTCAGGGCTCGGGCAAGCTTTTGAGGTCTGTAGCTGGTGGAAGACCTCTGCATCAAGAATGGCTGGTACCCCTTAATTCTGTACAGCTGGGGAACCTGGGGGTGAAACAAGATGACTGACTGAGTATCCTGAAAAGCTTGTGAGCATTTGCAGCGGTTCTCAACCTGTGGGTCGCGGCCCTTTGGGGGTCGAACGACCCTTTCACAGGGGTTGCCTAAGACTTAACAGTAGCAAAATTACAGTTATGAAGTAGCAACAAAAATAATTTTATGGATGGGGGTCACCACAACACGAGGACTGTAATAAAGGGCCGCGGCGTTAGGAAGGTTGAGAACCACTGCTTTAGAGAGATCTGCTCTCACAACAGCCCTTTGAGCTGCCTGAGGGTAAAAGAAAAATAAGCCCCGCCCGGGGCCAGCGGGCCTTGGCAATGTTAGTGCCCAGCGCAGAAGAGACCCGATGCCGGTCCCGAGCCCTGCCCGGTGCCAGCACACAGGACGCTCAGTTACTCTCCAACACATGTGGCCTAAATGCAGAGATACCCCAAATGCTGGTTGGTAAATTGAAAATATTTATATTTTCAAAATCAGAAGTGTCATATGTACTCAAAAAAGACTGACTACCTTCATTCACTTCATCTTGTGCTTTTTCTTACAGTATCTAATGTGTATAGTGCGGGTAGCCTCATGTACGCATAATATGTGGCATTTCCACAGAATGAGTAAGGACCCTGGTTCCCATAAGCCACCCTGGGAAAACAGAGTCTGTTATACTTCACACATACCATAAAATAACAGCAGAAAAGTATACACAGTATGCTACACAGTATAATCCATAGTAGAGCCAACTCATGAAACAGTGTAATTCAAATTCAAGAATATTCATAAGCAACCTAATTAACTAATACCCTATGACGGGTCTAACCTGCAGGTTGAAGTAGGAATGACTGTGCTTGACTTGAATTTCTGAAGATTTAATTGGGACTGGTCCAAGGCCAACAGGAGCCTAAAATGTGAAAATTCATAAATTGACACAGAATCAACATTGAGCAAAAGTGCTTCTTTTCTGTACACTTTGAACATTAAATGAGCAGTTCTTTTCTTAAAGTAAACAACCCTTTCTGCAACCGTGGTTGCTACTGGATGTGTGGGGGCCCGGAGGCAGCGCTGGCCGCCCCCTCCTTGTCTCCCAGCGATGTGCCTCTTCCTTTTCATTTCCTACTGTTGTGGGTGCTGCAATGTGCCACCCAGAACCCCCTTTCGCTCGAAGGTTTCAGTCCCCCGGCAGCGAAAAGTCCTGTTCATACAAACAACTCTCAGGGGTCAGCCCTCTTCAGGAGGTGCCCTGGCGGAAGCAGCTGCCTCAGTCAAGGTCATGTGTCCCGAGGAGGGCGGCCCCCCTCCAGTGACAGGTCGGAGCAGGTGTCAGTGCTGGTTCTCGCACCTGTCCCAGCAGCACAGCGCCTCATGGATTCAGCTGAGGCCTTTGTCAAGAAGGCCCGCGGTCCTGCTTCTCTCTCTGTCCACCCCTGCTCCCGCCGCCTCCCTCCACAGCTGCTAAGCCCGAGCACTGCCTAAGAAACTTCCTGCAGGCAAACTGCCTCCGACACCGGAGAACCTGGAACAGCACCTGGCATCTTACGGGCACTCAGTAAACCGCATTTCACCCAGTCTAAGACAACATCACTAACTGGGCACGGGGCAATGTTAGTATGCCATCCATCATAAGACACCAATGTCAAAGATGCTAAACACTGGGAAAGTGATCTTAAAATTGATAAAATGCAGTATTCATGGAATGAATTAGAAAAATTCTTTAAAGGCAGGAATGCTGAGCAGTCTGTTTTTCATCAACTCTGAGCAGCAGAGAAGCCTTTGCAGAATTAACTAAAGAACCAGATAAAATGCATAAGCTCTGAACGATTCATGAAGGATGCGCTGGGCTCCAGGGCGCAGTGACGATCTCCGCCATCAGTTACTGGGCGCCAGATACTTACTGGTGCTGGAAAATCACAGATTTATTATTTCCTAGGAACAAAATATTCTGATCTTTTAAGTCATTTATTTATCTAATGCAGAAAACACATGGAATTTCTTGTCAGCCCTGTAGTTCTTGAGTAAATAAATCAACCTTCAGTGCTTAACACACATTATGGGATGCGAACGGCAAGTTTATTCTTTGAGACTAAAAATATTTTTTGCATATGCACTTTCAGTATCAACTTAAACACACTTTTTATTGCCAACTATGTGAGCACAGGCAACATGTTATTGCTGGCTGTGTCCCCATATCTCAGTTTGCTCCTCATATGTTGAAGATTAAAGAATTGATACAACGGAAACACTGCCTTGCTCATGGTGGATGCAATGTAGGGCTATTGTTTTTATTATAATGCATCACTGTGCCTACTGGGCAAGAGGGGTGAACTAATGGTCACGCCTCTTGCCCAAGGAGGGTGGCGGATTGTGAGTCTGATGTGTTCGAGTGTTGGATTCTGGGCTGCCCTTCTCTGGCCTCTCCATTTGCTCGCAAAGCAGAGGGGCTCAGCTGCGCAGGGCCTGCCTCCCTGGGCCAGGCCAGGTCCTCTGGGTTTCTCCGACTGCCTTCTGCTCTCAGGCCCGGTTCCTGGGCTGTTAGAGCAGGCTTAGTCCTCTTGCTGTGTTCCAGGCTGGAAAGGACCCAGCCCCGGCTATCAGAAGCTCTGCACAGGTGTGTCAGAGGCCAGGCAGGTGGCAGGAGATGATCCTTGGTTTCCCACTGGTCACAATTCCCTGGGCACAGGTCTCTCTTGGGAGCCCTCAGGAGGAGGCAAAGGGACTGATACTGTGGTGGGCCTGCCGTGGTATCTGCCTAACAACCATCTGATCATGCCCAGCCCCACCCCAGCCCAATAGCACCCACCAACTCATCGGAGCCCTGGGGAGGACTGTGGGATGGGAAGGCGAAGGGCAGCACTTGCTTGGGTGATACAGAGAACCGGCTGGAATAGTCATCTTGACTGACCCGCTGCAGAACGTATTTGGAGGCATTCTTGACTGTAAGGGAAAAACAAAACAGCACTTTTGGGGGCTTCTTAAGGCATTCTGATGTGAAGCCACCGTCTTCAGTTGCATATTAGTCATACGGCACTAGTGGTACCCGTCACGGGCCATTTCAAAGAGTACCTAGGAGTATAAGCGTACAGTTCCACGGCTAGCGTCTCCTTTGTTCTTTACCTCACCCCTTCTCCAAATTTTAAAAACGTGTTATTTTAGTTTTACTTCCAAAATGTTGCTTTCTGGGGAAGACAGGGAAGCCTGAGCCAGGTTCAGGGACTTGGGCTCAGGAAGAGAGGAACACTCTGGAAAGATCAGGGTCTGCCTGTGGATCTGCAGACGAGCCACAGGTTGGAAATCCATATTTTGGAGGAGATGGTGACGTGGTTCCCGGCTCCCAGAGCCGCTGAGAACGGGCCTTCGACAGTCTCAGTCGACCTGTGGGTTGGGAGTTTTTAAAAATAGCAAAGATAATACAAGATAAAAAGCCTTATGTGTAGATGCTAGGTCGAGATAAAACCAGACCCAGTCAATCAATCTATACGTGTAAGTGCCGACTGTCCTGACTCTGGTGAGCCGGCCAGGTAAAGGGACTTGGCAGGAGTGATTAAATTAAGGAACTTGAGTGAGAGGGGGAGGGTGTCCCGGGTGATCTGGGTGGGCCCAAGGTCGTCACAGGATCCATAGAGAGGGAGGAAGGAGGGCCAGGGACAGAAAAGGAGACGTGATGACAGAAGCAGGGGTCAGTGTCGGGGAAGGGCCACGAGCCGGGCGCGCTGGCCGCCTCCAGCGCTGGAAAAGGCCACGTTCTCCGCAGGAGCTTCTGGAAGGAACCAGAGCTGCTGCATCCTGATGTCAGGGTTCTGACCTCCAGAACTGTGAGATAATAAATGTGTGTTGTTTTAAGCCACAAGTTTGTGATTTATTATAGCAACCACAGAAAACAAATACATGTGATTTATGACAATATTGTATTTCTACGCAGCTAACTCATTGTAAAGAAACCGCGTGCTGTGAGCACTGCTGTCCAAGCATCGTGGCACTGCCCAGCCGTACCTCACCTTGTACTACTGATTGTCTTCCAAACAGGATCCTTTTCAATATGGTCTTTCTATCCATGCCATGGATAGCATCCAGCATTTTAAGTAATCGTTGATGAACCATGATCTAGAATTAGGAAGAATAATGATTTCAAATGATTAATTGGCACACGCTCATTTTCCCATTTACTTAAATTCACGTTCCCTGACCACAGCTAAAGGCTAGGGCCACCACTGTAAGTCAGCACTCACGCACACAGCGCACACTGCTGCGGAGACCGAGGCCACAGGGACTTCCAGGTCAGGGCGATGTTGACTTCCTTGAATGCAAAACGGTTGTCATCTAGCCTTGTCTTACTCAATTTATGAGACTTGATTTTTGTATATTTCCAGAGTGGAGAAAATGACTATTTCTGCATTTTTAAATTTGTTTTCAGTATATCTGAATAGCAATGCTCCCACTGTGTTGTTTTCAGAGTTGAAGAACAAACTAAATGGACAGTTCCATAGAAACAGGTCTGTGGATTATGGGCAATGCTAATGTACACCCCTGTGCTTTGATCTAAGAGTAGATGCCACTGCAGGTGAGTGCTACCTGTGCACAGATCTGCAGCGGAAGAGACCATTCATTCCATAATATACACTCTTTCTGTCATGTAAAGGACTCTTTCATTAACAAATACTATGAAGTGCTACTCTGTGGCCAGTGCTGTGCAAGCGCTGAAGATATAATGGGAACAAACAAATGCCAGCCTACACAGAGGTGACGGTTCGTGTGTGTGTGTGTGTGTGTGATGGATGATGGTAAACAAACAAACGAGATAAACACCATGAAGAAAATAAAAGAGAGTAAATGCAGGCTGAGAAGGCAGTGGTCTGGCCACTTAAGCAAGGAAGACCACTCTGAGCGGAGTGAGGGCTGATCTCAGACTTGGATGATAGGGACACAATGATCTTTGGAAGAGAGTTCTGAGCAGGACAAGTGCAAAGACCCTGATTCCGGAACAAAGGAACATGTTGAAGGGACAAAGAGAAATACAATATGACCTTGTAGCCTTGATAATAATTGTGCATTGGATTATTTTATTTATTTTTATTAAAATTATTGGGTTGACATCGATTCATAAAACCATATAGGTTTCAAGTGCACGACTCAACAAAACACCTCCTGCACACTGCATTGTGTGCCCAACGCCCAAAGCAAAGTCTCTTTCTGTCCCCACATCCCCCTCCTTTGCAAACCTGCACCTAAGTCCCACCACCCTTTGCCCCTGGCTACCAGCACACTATTGTCTGTGTCTAGAGTTTCGGTTTCTTTGGATATATTCCCAGAAGTGGGATAGCTGGGTCAAAAGACAGTTCATTTTTAAATTTTTCCTGTTTTTATTTTAGTTTTTAAAATATTTCATTTATTGATTTGAGAGAGGAGAGAGAGAGAGAGAAAGAGAGAGAGAGAGAGGGAGAGAGAGAGAGAGAGAGAGAGAGAGAGATATCCTGGCTGGAGAAGGAATTTACAACCTTGGCATATTAGGATGATGCTCTAACCCACTGAACTACCTGGGTAGGGCTAGCCATTTTTAATTTTTTGATGAAACTCCATGCTATTTTCCATAGTGGCTACACCAGTCTGCATTCCCACCAAAAGGGTTCCCCTTTCTCCACATCCTTGACAGCATTGTTGTTTGTTGATTTACTGATGATAGCCATTCTGACAGGTATATGGTGATATTTCATTGTGGTTTTAATTTGTATCTCTGAGTATTTTTTCATATGTATATTGGCCATCTGTACTTCTTCTTTGGAGAAGTGATTATTCAGGTCCTTTGTCCATTTCTTAATTAGATTGCTTGTCTTCTTGGGATTGAGTTGTATACATTCTTTGTACATGTTGAAAATTAACCCCTTATCAGACGTTTTATTGGCACTATGTTCTCCCATTCAGTGGGCTCCCTTTTCAATTTGTTGATGGTTTCTTTTGCTGTGCAAAAGCCTTTTAGTTTGATTAGTCACATTTATTTATTTTTTCCATTGCTTCCCTTGCCTGAAGAGATATATCAGAAAAAATATTGCTATGAGAAATGTCTCAGATTTTCTTCTAGGATTTTTATGGTTTCACGACTTACATTTAAGCCTTTAATTCATTTTGAGTTTATTCTTGTGTATAGTGTTAAGTTGGTGGTCTAGTTTAATTTTTTGCATGTACCTGTCCAATTTTCCCAATACCATTTATTGAAGAGACCGTCTTTACCCCATAGTATGTTCTTGCCACCTTTGTCAAGTACAAATTGACCATAAAGGCGTGGGTTTATTTCTATGCTCTCTATTCTGTTCCATTGATCTATATGCCAATACCATGCTGCTTTGATTTTATGGCCTTGTAGTATAATTTGATATAAAGTATTGTGGTACCTCCAACTTTGTTCTTCTCTCTCAAGATTATGAAGCTATTTGGGGTCTTTTCGGGTTCCATATAAATTTTTGGAATATTTGTTCTAGATCTGTGAGATGTGCCATTGGTATTTTAATAGGAAATGCATTAAATGTGTAGCTTTCTCTGGGTAGTATGAACATTTTAATGCTGTTAATTTTTCTTGTCCATGTACACAGTACATACTTCCATTTATTTGTATCTTCCTCAATTTCTTTCTTCCGTATCTTATCATTTTCTTTTACCTCTTTGGTTAAATTTATTCCCGAGTACCTTATTTTTGTGTTACAACCATTAATGGGATTGTTTTCTTAATTTCTCTTTCTGATGCTTCATTATTGGTGTATAAAAATGCCACTGATTCCTGAATATTAATTTTGTATCCTGCTACTTTGCTAAATTCATTTATTAGATATTGTACGTTTTTTTGTATGGAGTCTTTAGGGTTTTCTATATACAATATGTCATCTGTAAATAATGACAGTTTAACTCCCTCTTTTCCAATTTGGATGCCTTTTAGTTCTTCTTGTCTGATTACTGTGGCCAGGACTTCCAGTACTATGTTGAATAAGGGTGGTGAAAGCAGATATCTCTGTCTTGTTTCTGATCTTAAGGGAAATCCTTTTAGTTTTTGCCCATTGAGTATGATGTTGGCTGTGGGTTCATTGTCAAATATGGCCTTTATTATGTTGAGGTATGATCCCTCCATTCCCACGTTGTTGAGAGTTTTTATCATAAATGGGTGCTGGAGTTTATCAAATGCTTTTTTGCATCTGTTGATATGATCATGTGATTTTTATCCTTTATTTTGTTTATGTGATGTATCACGTTAATTGATGTGCAAATATTGTGCCAACCCTGCATGTCTGGAATAAATTCCACTTGATCATGGTGTGTGATCTTTTTATGTATTGCTGGATCTAGTTTGCTAATATTTTGTTGAGGATTTTAGCATTTATGTTCATCAGTGTTATTGGCCTATACTTTTATTTCTTTGTAATGTCTTTATCTGGTTTTGAAATTAGGATAATGCTGACGTCATAAAAAGAGCTTGGGAGTCTTCCCTCCTCTTGACATTTTTGGAACAGTTTGAGAAGAATAGTTGTTAGTTCTTTTTTGAATATTTGGTAAAATACACCTCTATAGCCATCCGATCCATGACTTTTGATTGTGGGAGATTTTGACTACTCCTTTGATTTCATTAGTTGTAATTTGTCTATTCAGGTTTTCTGATTCTTTTTTATTTAGTTTTGGAAGATTGTATGTTTCTAGAAATGTACCCATTTTGCCCAGGTTGTCCAATTTGTTGGCATATAGTTGTTTATAGTGTTTTCTTACAATCCTTTGCATTTCTGCCTGGCCGGTATGGCTCAGTAGCTGAGCGTCAACCCATGCACTAAGGGGTTGCTGGTTTGATTCCCAGTCAGGACACATGACCAGGTTGTGGGCCAAATCCCCAGTGGGGGGCATGCAGGAGGCACCAATCAATGTTTCTTTCTTTCTTTCCCTCTCCCTTGCTCTCTCTCTAAAATCAATAAAAAACAAAAACAAAAAACCAATCCTTTGTATTTTTGTGGTGTCAGTCTTTCATTTCTGCTTTTATTTGGTCCTCTCTCTTTTTTCTAGATAAATCTGGTTAAAGGTATGTCAATCTTGTTCATCATTGCCAAGAACCAGCTCTTGATTTCATTGATGTGTGTGTGTGTGTGTAGACACACACATACACATATTTTTTTTAGTCTCTATGTCATTTATTTCTGCTCTAATCTTTATAATCTCTTTCCATCTACTTACTCTGGGCTTTCTTTGTTGTTCTTTTTCTAGTTCTTTTAGGTGTGAGGTTAGATTGTTTATTTTAGATATTTTTTGTTCTTGAGGTAGGCCTGTAACGCTATGAACTTCCCTCTCTGGACAGCTTTCTCTGTGACCCATAGATTTTGCGTTGTTGTGTGTTCATTTTCATTTGTCTCCAGGTAACTTTTGATTTTCTTCCTTGATCTCATTGTTAACCCGTTCATTGTTTAATAATGTTATGTAGCCTCCATGTGTTTGAATGTTTGTCAGTTGTTTTATTGTAATTGATTTCTAGTTTTATACCATTATGGCCAGAGAAGATGCTTGATAAGATTTCAGTCTTCTTAAATTTATTAAGACTTGTTTTGTGTCCTGACATGTGATCTGTCTTTGAGAATGTTCCATGTGCACTTGAGAAGAATGTATATTCTGCTGCTTTGTGATGAAATGTTCTGTAAATATCAATTAAATCCACCTGATCCAGTTTGTCATTTAAGGTTGCTGTTGCCTTGTTGATTTTTGTCTGCAAGTTCTATCCATTGATGTCAGTGGAGTGTTAAAATCCTCTACTATGACTGTATTGCTGTTGATCTCTCCATTAATGTCCACCAGATTTTCTTTATATATGTAGGTACTCCGATGTTGGGTTTATATATGTTGACAAGGGTTATATGCTCTTGTTGAACTGATCCTTTTAGTATTATGTAGTGATCTTCGTCTCTTGTTATGGCCTTTGTTTTGAAGCCTATTTTGTTTGATATAAGGATTGCTACCCCCGCTTTTTTTTAAAATTTCCATTTGCATGGAATAATTTTTTTTAATGTTTTATTTATTTATTTATTTATTTTTTAAATCTTTATTGTTGAATGTAAAATGCATTACAGATGTTCCACATTTTTCCCCCA